CCCTGCGAGCAGCTACTTCCGCCAGGAGTCCCTAGCGGCTCGGGCTTGGAAGCTGGCCCTACGGCAGCCTCGTCCTCCTGCCCTCAGCCCGCCCACGCGCGATCGGGTGCCCAGGTGACAGCGGCGTTCTCTGCGGTCGAGGCCTGGGCCTGGGAAACCGGGCGGTGCGGCGGAGACGCCCGGCCTGGCCCAGCCCCCGCCCGGGACTTGCCGCGGCCAGTGTCGGGGGCTGCAGGCCTCGTAGCGCCCACCCCGGCCTGGGGCGGGGCCCAGCCTCCCCGCCCGGCCCCGCCCCGCCCCTCCGGCCAGCCCGGCGCGGGGTCACTCTGCCCTGCGGCGGCGTAACCGCCCCGCACCTGCGGCGCTCGGCGGTCCTCTGGCCCGGGCCGCTGGGGGAACATGGAGTTCGCGGAGCTGATCAAGACCCCGCGGGTGGACAATGTGGTGCTGCACCGGCCTTTCTATCCGGCCGTCGAGGGGACCCTGTGTCTGACCGGCCACCACCTGATCCTGTCCTCCCGGCAGGACAACACGGAGGAGCTGTGGCTCCTCCATTCAAACATCGACGCCATCGACAAGCGGTGAGTGCCCATCCCACCGGGGGTCCTGCGGCGGGGTCCCGAGCACACGCTTCCTGGTGTTTTCCTAGCGTCGCAGCTAGCCGGCAAAATGAGCCGTCTCTGGCCTGGGTTCGGGAGTTTTAGGAAGGAGAAAGCCATCCAGATGGGACACCTGGGTTCTGTTCAGTGTGGTCGGAGTGCTCAGGGTTATGGTTACCGTCCTGATTGTCATTTTGGTGCATACCACCATTTGGGTGGATTTTCAACGTTTTCTTTTCAAATTTCTTCTTCTTGCCCCATCATATGCTTTGGATCGCAACTGATTGTCAATCACAGTTCATGAAGTTGTGATTGGATGTGATTTAGGTAAAGTATTTACCACTTTGAGGAATACTGAAGAGCTCATTATGTAGTTAGGAGTGTCTACATGCCACAAACCCACGTTTTCTTCCTCAAAAATGTTCAGTTTGTCATATTTCTGCTTATTTCTTACCTTCTGGGTCATCAGTTTAATACTTCTTCCCACTGAGGAAGATTATAACGTCTTCTATTCATCTCTTTTTTTTTTAAGACAGAGTCTCGCTTTGTTGCCTGGGCTGGAGTGCAGTGGCGCTGTCATAGCTCAAACTCCTGGGCTCAAGGGATCCTCAGCCTTGGAGCTGGGACCACAGGTGTGCGCCACCAAGCCTGGTTAATTTTTAAATTTTTTGTAGAGACTGGGTCTCGCTATGTTGCCCAGGCTGGTCTGGAGCTCCTGGTCTCAAGCAATCCTCTTGCCTCAGCCTCCAAAGTGCTGGGATTACAGGCCTGAGCCACTGAGCCCAGCCTTGCTCCGGCCCTCGCCTCATCTTTACTCACTTCTGCTTTTGGAAAGAACAGGGTTGTTAGCTCTTAAGGAAAGGTATAATTAACCATTTTTTTTTTTTTTTTGCACTCCAAACTTTTTATCTTTCCAAGGCAGTGTCTCAAAGTAAAAAAGTTACGCTTTCATCTGCAGTCAAAATTCCCATCTCCTCAGTGGCCCTGTGTACTCTAGCCAGAGAAGGCAAATTGATTATCCAAGAAACACTAAAGTATAGATGAATCACAGCAATGTTTTCTGTTGCCTCCCAGGAGAATTTGGATATTAAGAAAATTCCTAGAGAGGATATGCCTTAAAATAAAATAATTTCTAATGGTAGAATTTCGAGCAGTTTGAGTGAGTGGTAGATTTATTTATTTATTTTTTGAGCAGAGGGCTCTTATTAGACCCCTCAAATCACCTTTTCCTGTGTCAAGTTTTCAGTGGTGTCTGATTGCCTGCACGATGTATGAAGTCTAAATGCCTTCACCTGTCATTCATAGCGGTCCATGTTCTGGCCCTAACCTACTTTCTTCACTTTCTTTCTTGCCATTTCTTTTTCCTGAACCCTTCTTGCGTTTCCTTTCATGAACCCTTTTTACTAGCCAGACCTCACTATTTATTGCTCGTATACGTCCCGAGTTCTCTCTTTGTGTTTTACTGACCTCTTCCTTCTACTGGAACGCCTTGCATCTCCCAGGTTCGTTAAACATTTATTGAGTGCCTTTATGTTTCAGACATTTTGTGAGGCATTGAAGACACGAAGATGAATAAAATATGTTGACAGTTCTGGTCTGTCAGGAGTTCATAGGCTGTCATCCCACTGTTGCCCTCTGTCCCTGTTCACTTTAACCAGTTCAGCGGCCACCTCCTCCTTCACCGATTCTTACGTCAGTCCCATAACTGGAAGTAATTCCTCTCACCTTGAAATTCTGCAGCTCTTTAATTATATGTGTCTCATAAGCATATATTCAAATTTGCATTTTAACAGGTACATATATATTAGCTCTTTGAAGCCAGAACTCAACATCCGATTCATTTTTGTCTCCTTCAAAATGCCTGTAAACACATCGTAAATGAGAGGATTGACCGCTGAATGGTCAGTGGTGCCAAGAATCCCAATTAGTAGTCTCTGTATGACCCTCGACTCTCTTTTCTTTCTTATTTACTTCTTTTTATGGTTACTTTTCACTCATTCATTTCTTCATATTTACCTAGCATTCACTAGGTGCTGGGCTTTGCAGGGCATAAAGAAGGCATGTAAGACAGGGACCTTTTAATTTACTGGGGGAGAAATGACAAACTGTACACACAACCTTTCCTGGGAAGCAGCGTGGTGTGGTGGAAAGGGCACAAGGAAGTGGTCAGATTGCTTAGTTGTTGCTTTAAGATCTATTTACTTCCACCCGTCTTCTGTGTGCTGAGCACTGTCCGGGCTCTGGGAAAGCCGTG